TATAATACAATTATTTTGCGCTTCCTTTGAGTCTTTGCTCTGCTTCATGTTGGTCCGCTAATTGATTTGTCGTCGGCATTTTATAAATAAATAAAAAAAAAAACGAATACAAGTTAAGTAAAAACAATGCAGTGTAGTTGCAACCGACTGAACAATTCTCTGTTCACAGAATCGAATAGAACATTTTTGATGATGGGCTCAGCGGCTCTAAGGGAGTAAACCGTGAGCAATGGCTTTCAACGGTCAATTCATGAGGACGCAAATAAAGTTTTGGCAAGATCTTTAACTAACTAACTCTTTCTGAACCTTTCGGAGATATAGTTTAGCGATTGATCTTGACCTCTAGGGGTTATGACTAATCCTCCTTGCCATATCTGTTGAATCTAGCTAAAAAACTGTACGAGTTATATGTCGACTTACTTTATCTTTATCTGCACGGACAACAGGACGAACACAAAGCCAATATGCTCGTTTGCATTTTGTTAATAGACTCTTAAAAGGTCAAAATTTGAGCGAAAAATCTAAAGCGCGTGCCGCAGCCGCCATCCACTCAGCGCTTAATTAACTTACTGCTTAAAATGTATGTAAAATTAATTAATTTTGCTACAGGCTGATAGTGCCATGCCCACGTATGGTTTGATGTGGGCGTTGCACCTCAGAGTGGCGCAGCACTATATATCAGCAAATTGCAATCGGAAACTATTGTCTGATTGAATTTTCTTTGGCAGAGGCAAGCGAACGAAAGGCCTGCTTTTATTATAAATATTTATGGTACCACATGGCGTATGAGTGCGTTTGCGAGTTTATTTGTGCCTGGGGCGGGTTGTAAGTGAAGCTGAGCATTGGCTATTGGAAATGTTTTTAATTGCACACAAAACTGCACAGACGGCAATAGCACGTTCTCTAGAAGCCAAAAAGTGCCGGAAAGCGAAACAATCGAGTTATAAAATTGAGAGTAACGATATTTTATTCCAAGAACTGTCAGCATTCTCTTTTGCCTAGATGCAGTAAAGTACTTGAACATTTTACCTGGCGGCGGCGTCGGCGTGGCCGGTGTATAATTAATAAAGTTGAAAATGTAAATGGTACAAAAATGTATTGTGTAATTGAATCTACTCAAATTGCTTACACTGAGTAAATGATGCGCTCGTTACTTCTGTTTTAAATAATAATATAAAAACTAGAAGCTACATGTCAGGTCTGAGGGTCAATAGTTCTTTCTGCTAATGTATTAAGTTAACAAGAGAAAATATATATACTTGCCTAATTGTGCAGATATATTCGATATTAAACCAATTCAGAGAATAAACTATAAAATTGTTTTGATACACTTTAAGTGGTTTGTAGTTGCTTTTGGACTGCATCAGTGGTCGGCACTTTTTGGTTTCCTTTTTCCTAATTGTATCTTAATATTTACAGCCGTGTGCGTCATTATGTTGTTTGTAGTTTGTTGTTGTTGTTGTTATTGTTATTGTTCTTGGCACTTGTTTGGCTTTGCTTAATTTGTTGCTAGAGCTTTCTGGCCAACAAAAGCGAACATCTGAATTTGGCAATTGGAAATTATCAATTTGATTGATTATAATTACATAGTTGCGCCCACCAAGTCGTCTAATGATGATGATGATGATGCTGATGATAATGACAATGCAGCTAATGATGATTCTGGCGCTGCGCATCTTAATTGCTGCCAATTGATGCAATCAAAGATGGGACACTGCTAAGATTCGTTTGATTCGAAAATCAGCAATCACAAATCAGTGAAAATTCTAATTGAAGCCTTTTACATGACGCTGTATTTGCAATTTTGTCTCCACTGATTGACAATGGGCTGCCCTCGTTGTAGGCGGGGGCGTGTAGGAGGGCGTAGCCTTTAATTGAGTGTCTGCCGCCTTCTAGTGTTTTGGCAAAGAAATTCATTAAGCGCCCCGTAGAAACTGGTCGCATGCATCCGTCAAGCGGAAACATTGAAAATCACAAGAAATTTTCTTGTTTTTCTGACATTCGCTTTTTCCTAACCAATTTTTAAATTGCTTTTGTTGCTGCTGTGTGGGCGAAACCAGCCAGAGAAAGAGAGCAGAGCTGTTGCCAAAAAAAAAAATCGGAAAGAAAAGAAAAAATAAACGCTGGTCAAGCAAATTGCGCGTGTCTAAAAGATTTGCGTTGGTTAAACGGCAGCCCGATGGCTGCCTGATTTGGCAAGTCATTTCATAATGCGATGCTCGAAAAGCTGTCACTATAAAGCAGATCATCGTTAGATGACGCCATTTGGCAACACATCCCCATTACATTATCTGCTTGAAAGCTATAAGCTGCATCACTTCAAATGAGCTTAGGCAAATCATTTAAGATAGCCAAATCATTGCTGAGAGTCTTTTTCTAATCGTTTAGGAGTAGGGCCTAATGTGAATCAGTTAAATCATTCAAGTCTACATCCTGGATTTAATTTTTGCATTTTGTCCGAAAATAACCTATTAAAGAACTGTGTTCGCGGCATCAATGAGGTCCCAGGCATAGCTATTTTCAATGAACTCCCCCTTATCGTATTTTCAAGTGACATTTTTATTGAAAAAAGCGAGAACAAGCTTCTTTAACGCTTAAGCTATTTATTTATGTTAAGCTTATTTTCTCGCCTCTCTACGAGCTTCTTCCTTTGAGCATCACCTGTTTACTTTGCTTCTCGCTTAGCTTCTTGCTGCTTTTCTTGCTTAGTTTCATGCGCTAAGGCAGGCCCAGCTGCTTTGCTAGCCGCGATGCGCCTTGTTTTGCTTCTGCTTGTTTCTCGCTTTGCTCGTTTATTTTAACTTTACCATCTGCTCTGCTTCTCCCTTTGATTCTATATACTCTATGCGCTCTATGCTTAATAAATTAATAAAAGCCATTTGACTCAATATTTGTGCACTGTTCAATTCAACTCCATTCAGTTGAGTTCAGTTCAGCAGGCACTTGAAATCCGTTGAACTTTAGCAGTTAATTTGCGAGGTATATCCCCAGCTAAAGATACTTGCCAGCATAATTAGAGTAACTCATGTTTATCGCCATATCGCAACATTTGAGCTGATGTTTGCACAGTTGTGAGGCACCGACATCAAAATTGATCGTCAACACATACTTTTTGCCATCCCCTGCTGTATCAGAAATGTTTTGATGACTTTTTGTCAGTTTGTTTGCTTGGCTTTCCGTCCGTTTGACGATTTCTTTCGCATTTGGCAGCTTTAATAAATTTTGATGTGCGCATTTTGCATTTCGCGGCATTTATAATTATAATTGTAAGACGTGAATATTTTTAATTTGCATGCACATACTTAATGCTTTTAACCCCTCCGCACACCGCCTCCACCAAACCGAATCCACAGCTATTCCAACCAATCTAAACGCTTGCGAATATGTGTGTGCGTGTGGGCTTGTCCAAAAAATATTCTATTTGAGGCACGCCAAGTGCCCCCGACTAGTTTCAGAACATTTTTGAGTTATGCAAGTGTAAATATTTCACACCGCAGGCTATCAATTTACGTCAAATGAAATTCATGTTTCGCTTCAATTTATTTTACTTTTTTTTTGTTTTCAACAATTACTTGCATATTTATGTGTGCAGCATAAATTGGTGGTGTGTGCTAATTTCATGGCTGTCGTCGATGCACTCATTTCTGTTGCCCATTAATATTCTGCTTAAGTTAAAGTATATTAATTGTACAACGTTTGGTGTGGGCTGATTTTGCAAAAGAAAAGTGCGCTACAGAAAGATTGATTTAATAAGTATGAGTGCTCTAGTCAGGAGTGCCAGACTAGGAGATGCTCTGTACCCCGCGGCAAGCTGTCGTTGCACACAATCTAGCTTCTATCTATCCATACAGAAGTATACACATATACATGCACACATACTCTTAACGCAGCTACTGTGAGTGTCATTCTTAAGTATCTTCGGTGTTAAATACTTTGAATCTGTGTTAACTATACAAGAATCTATACACCAAGTTTGGAGTCGAGTCGATATCTTAAACGAAAATATCCTCGTTCTGCGTTTGGTATGCGAGCATATATATTTCATATATAGTTCAGACATGCGGACGGACATTTAAAGGGACTTGACTAGATCGACTCGGCTCGTCGTCCTGATCTAGCTTATATATGTATGCATGTATGGGGTCTGAGATACTTCCTTCTGCTTTATACACATATTGCCACGATATCATTATACCCACCTTTATAGCCATTATAATATGATTGTTTGTTAGGTAAAACCCACAGAGCCAAGAAATCTACATGTTACTGTGAGGGTATTTCTTAGTCGAGATTAAGTAGCATTCTTAATTTTCATATTTTACCCATCGTTCGCTCTCTCTCTCTCTCTCTCTCTCTCTCTCTCTCTCTCTCTCTCTCTCTCTCTCTCTCTCTATCTCTCTCGTTGATATTCCATGCTGCTTGCGTAGACCCGTACGAGTAACTTGAAGTATTCGCAAAATGAATTTGTGCATAATATTTTAATGAATTTAACGGATTGCCGCATACAAATCGTGATTTATCTTCTCTTTTGGCTGACTGTCGCCGAAGAAGCGGCCGCTTGGCTCGGTGAGTGGGGGCATGTGGTATGCGGGTACATTGTTGTGGCGTGGGCGTGGCCCGCAAAAGTGAACCGGCACAATACGGAAAATGGGAAAACTGACCAAACGGACATGAACATTGATTGATTTCACGCCAGAAAACAGCCGCAGAGCAGAGCGAGCTGCTTATTTTTAGCGGTTATTTTCAGCGGGCGTGAAGTTCGACGCTGCGGCTGGCGGAGGGCATGAAATGAAAATGTTATTTTAAGTTGTGTGACAGCGGGCGAGCGGCGCGGTTGGCAGGCGGCACAATTTTCCTAGCCAGTGATTGCGTGCCACGGAAAATGCCAAAACACATTTGCCTAAACGACGTGCAACATTTCAAGGTCGAACCCTAAAAACCTAACAAAAGCCAAAAAAAATGCCCCTTCCACTAACTAATTTCCACCTGTTTCATTGCAGCCCTTGAACTTGGCAGACCGTTGGATAGCAGCCGCTTGGCGGCGGCGGCGACGGCAGCCGCATGGATCATGCCGTCAAGGCGACGCGCGGCCGCCCGCTCAACACGCTGCGCTTCGAGAACGACGAGCTGGAATGCCTCTACCAGCGTTACACCCTCAAGCTGCAGCGCTTCTCGGTGCTGGGCGTCGTTGCGCTCGTGGTGGTGCTCTGTGGTGTGATGGCCGCCCTATCCCTGGCCTTCAACAATGCGGCCACTTTTCATGTAAGTAATGCAAGTAATGCGCACTTTTCATGCGAACTTTTTGCTTAAAGCCAACTGGTACCGGATAGTTAGCCGGGCTTGTTTGCATATACAAGCTGTCGATGGGCTTGCCACTCGATTAAAAAGTAAACAACAACTGGATTTAAATGGCTATAAATATGTTTGAATAAGTATTTAGAGACAGCGAATAACAGAGACTGATGCCAAAGATTAAACACATACTAGTCAATGTGGAAAAAAGATTGAAAATTATTTGTTGATTGATTGTTCCTGACCTAAAGTTTGCACTTTTGCCATAATTATTATTATCTTATTCATGTTTTATTACTATTAATATTATTATTTCGATTATTACGTATACGCATAATTTGTAACTGAGACGGATGCCAAAGATTAAACACATACATGTCGATGTGGCAAAAATTCAGTTTGGGCTGTTATTATTATTACTATTATTATTATTATTTTATTCATGTTTATTTTGTTTATTTTGGTTATTAATAATTCGTATAAGCAATATTACGTATACGAGTATACATACGTATAATTCGTATACGTAATAATACGTATAACAATATATGGTCCATGTATAACTTATTGAAAGAGCGTAACTTTATAGAATATTTCGTTTATTTGGAACTAATTTAAAGACTCGCGTCATGTAAACCTTGAACAAACTTAATTTGATATGTTGGTACCATGAATCTTCTTTTACCAACACTACATGCTTCTCGGATCAGGGGTAGGGATTGGGGTCTTCCGAAATCGATTTTAATCAATTGCTTGGAAACGGGGCAAGTTCATAATGTTCATAATGGCAAGTCTTTAGCTATAATACGTGTTGACATCGATACGTTTATACGTACGCATAGACGGACGGGCGGACAGACAAACAGACGGACTTGGCTAGATTATCTCGGCTATTGATGCTGATCATGAATATATGTTTATTTTATGGGGTCGGAGATGCTTGCTTTTGCTCTTATATGTACATTTGCACAAAACCCCCTTTCTATCCCCTTTCTACCCATATTCAATGGGTTCAGGGTATATGTAAAGTTTATCCGAAGCTAGTACATGATCTAATATATTTTCAAATCATGTGCCACGCATATGTATATAATACTATTATTTATTATATAAGCATTTGAGTCAGAAGGAATTGTGAACTAAAAAGCTCTTCCTACTAAGACCTAACGCCAGCCGACATGCGAATCCCAACTTGGAATCTCAATGAACGTAGCTTATTTGCAGAAGATGGCATCAGAATCAGTTCAGTGTCTGTCAAAACTTTTAATATTCATTTACGAAACGCAACCTAATTGATAATGTGTTATTCTCTTTGACCTCAGAATATCTTCAACTCGATTTTGTGTGTGATATTCGCCGTTGTGCTGGTGCTGCTGCAGTGCTCGGTGATCAAGGATCACCATTTGCCGACGCTGTGCTATGGAATTCTGCTGTTTACGGCCAGCATTTGCATAGTGTCCATGCCGACGCTGGGCAGCGTATTTCCGGTTGATACCAAGGAGGTGATGGCCGAGGGTGTCTGGCAGATAGTGTTTGTGGTCTTTCTTGCGTACGCTATGATGCCGCTGCAGATTTGGGAGGCGGTCGCCTTTGGCATTGCATTGCCCTCGGTGCACATTAGCATTACGGTCTATAAGATCTTTACAGCTGCGTTGCGGTATCTGGAATACAATCAGCTGATAGCCAACATTGTCATCTTTATTGGAGTGAATGTTGCCGGCCTGGTGGTCAACATTATGATGGAACGTGCACAGCGTCGGGCATTTTTGGACACACGCAACTGCATTGCCGCACGTCTCGAGATACAGGATGAGAACGAGAAGTTGGAGAGATTGCTGCTCTCGGTGCTGCCGCAGCACGTGGCCATGCAGATGAAGAACGATATACTGTCGCCAGTGGCCGGACAATTCCATCGCATCTACATACAAAAGCACGAGAACGTGAGCATCCTGTTTGCGGACATAGTCGGCTTCACTGTGCTCTCCTCCCAGTGCAGCGCCCAGGAGCTGGTGCGCCTGCTCAACGAGCTCTTCGGCCGCTTCGATCAGCTGGCGCATGTGAGTTGCAACCTTGCTGCCAAAGCCCGGCTTCAAGATTCTAATCTTCCGTTTTTTGTTTAGGACAACCACTGCTTGCGCATCAAGATATTGGGCGATTGCTATTACTGCGTCTCTGGCCTGCCAGAGCCGCGCAAGGATCACGCCAAATGCGCCGTGGAAATGGGACTCGATATGATCGATGCCATTGCGTGAGTACAGAATATCTTTCAAATATATATTTATATTTAATACTAAAAATATATCGATCTGTAAAACTCTTGCTAAGGGTATATTTATTAGGCTGTGTAAAATGCTTTATTAAGCTTCTGAAATGTATTCAAGCATATCACCTTTGATATTCGCATTTTGGGAATTTTTTTATATCCTTGCTAATGGTATTCTACTTTTGTCACGAAATGTGATACGCACAGAAAAAGAAGACGTCTTCCACCATAGACACATTATCCTTTTGCAGCCAATATATAAGATATTTTTAGCTAATACGGCATTTAGTATTTTCACCATGCTCGAATTAATAGATCACACAGTCATATAGACAAAACTCGTACCTTTACCTTTTCTATTTCCCAAGATATCTTACTCAGATAGCTGCAAATTTGTATTCAATTTAACTAACTAGCATATAATATATGGCTAGTATGGGAACAATCGGTCGGCAAGAGTACTTAATTGCCGGGTTGTCACAGATCGCCGTGTTTAGTTGTCATTTTTAATTTCGTCGCTTAATCCAATTTCTTGCTGTCGCACAGTACCGTTGTGGAGGCCACCGATGTCATCCTGAACATGCGCGTGGGCATACATACGGGCCGTGTGCTCTGCGGCGTTCTGGGCCTGCGCAAGTGGCAGTTCGATGTGTGGTCCAATGATGTGACGCTTGCCAACCACATGGAGTCGGGCGGCGAGCCGGGGCGAGTGCATGTGACGCGCGCCACCCTTGATTCGCTCTCGGGCGAGTACGAGGTGGAGGCGGGTCACGGCGATGAGCGCTCCTCGTATCTGCGGGATCATGGTGTCGACACGTTCTTCATTGTGCCGCCGCCGCATCGACGTAAGGTGAGTTGTTGTATGCGATTTGTGATCTTTCAATTAGCTGCTGCTTGTAGCGTTTGCTCTCATTTTGCCCATCTCTAACTCTTACTTGTTGGTATTGTGCATCGATGTCTCTATTGCAGCCTCTAATGCTAAACACGCTTGGTGTACGCTCGGCGATCGGTAGTCGGCGCAAGTTGTCATTTAGAAACGTTTCGAATGTGGTCATGCAGCTGCTGCACACCATCAAGTTCTCGGAACCGGTGCCGTTCTCCAACATTGCCACCGGCTCATTTCCATCGGCGGCTGCCGCCTTGGGCGGCGGTGCGGCACGTGGCAGCAGCGCCGACGCGGCAACCACGGCCAGCGTTCAGGTGTCGGAAAAGGGTTCGCGCAAGGTAAGTGCTCACCATGCCCACAATTGTTTTAGTCTATAGTATTTAGTTGAAAGACCTTAGTCCAGTGTTTCGAGATCAGAGACTCGTAGCTCCTTAGACGTAGCTCAGTTCTGTGCATGTCCGGGTAATATCCTTATTTTTGTTTATTTTAATTTAATTTTTTTTTCATGGGGCACAGTCTTGGGTGGTTTCTCAAAATGTATCCCAGGGATACACTCGAATCTCAATGATCTGTCGTCGGCTTGCTGTAAAGCACGACAATTCCTTATGATTTCTTTCGTTGATTTCTTTCTTTTCGTTTACTTTCAGGATGCGGTAAGTTCACCTTACATATAAGTATAGTATGAAATGTCCCAAAAGTCCCAACCAAAACTCCGTACCCCTTTGTTTATTGTTTTTCAAAATTGTGGGCCCTTTTGTTTTGTAGACGCAATATCTTGCATAGCATATGAATACTTATTAATTTTAATCGGAATATGCGTAGAACAGTTGGAGCTCAGTAATCGTTATCTTTTGATTCGTATTATGTAATTCGTAATCCGTACTGTTGTATCTACTAACATCTGTACTGTACTGTACTGGCCGAAACTATATAAACTATCGTTTTTTTGTGTTTGTGTCGATGTTGTGCGTACCTTGTGTAAAGAGTAGAAGAAAAAAATAACGTTTAGTTATTGGACTCATCGGTAATACCCACTAACAGCAACACTCGACATCCGACACGACCTCTGATCTTATCATTACTGATCGAAGAAATAAAAAAAAGAAAAAACACACACAACACTTGACACAATTTCACAAAAAGCAACTAATCAGATCAATTAACTACACTAAAGCAGCTTTAGGCAAACTAAATTTGAAATTTTTCAAACAATTGAATTATTAGAAATATTGAAAGCCAATTATTGCTTGATATTTGAAAAATAAGTTGAATATATGAAACACTAAACATACACTAAAAATTGTACACTGTTATTTTGCATATTTGCTATCAAAGTTTCAGTTCCAGTTCCAGTTCCAGTTTCCGGTTCAGTTTCACTTTCGTTAAGTTTCCTGTCGCCGAATTACGTTTCCGTTTGCGTTTATCTTGCCCTTTGTTTCTATAAGCTATTTATATCCTTTGTCTCAATATCATTTTCTCTATAAATATTTATATCTTATCTATATAACTTAATCCTTATCTACCTTAACCATATTTAACTATCGTACTTCTCGCTATATTTTTGGCTATTCTATTTTAATTTACAATTTAAGTAATATATATATATATACATACATACGTATACAAACTATATATATACATATATATGAATACTGTGTATACTTCTCTGATCTAGGTAATACGTCTACAAAAAATCTTGCATGCTACCCCGCCACCGCACGGCATCGGCTATGGCAGCGTCGTCGGCAGCGGCGTCGGCAGCGGCGGTGGCGGTGGGGGGGGCAGTGTTCAAGTGACCGTAGGCACAAGTCCCAATTCAACAGCGAGTACGATTAGTCGCATACATAGGCACAATCACAAGAATAATAAAGTGAGCAGAGGAGCAACAAAAAAAAAAAAAAAAAAAAAAAACAAATGTTTAATTTTCGTTCACATTCGTTCAGTCTTGTATTCGTTATGTATTGTGTTGTGTCGTTCACGTTCGTTCACGTTCGTGCGTTATGTGCTGTGTTGCTAACTCATAAGTATTCGATTCGTTAAGTGTTCGTTAAGTTTTTTTTTTTTTTAATCTTTATTATGTTTTGTACCTGTTATGGCTTTTAGTTTGGGGCGGGCTTTAATACTAATTATTTGCGGCGTTTCGTTGAGTTTCGTTAAGTGTCGTTAAGTTTCATAAAAATTTGCGATTAGCTCACATTTGAACATTTGTCGCATGTGCAGTCGTGACGCACCCATTTCGTCCAGTTGCGTTACTTTCGTCGAGTCTCACAAAGCATGTCGCTACACAGCTCTGTTCTCAACCGCATGCCCTAGATCCATTTAGTTTACTTTTTGGTACTTGGTACTTTGGTATTGGTATTATTACTTTCGATATAGCCAGCCAGCCAGCCAGCACACTGCCAAAAACCTGCCGAGAACAATAACTAGCACTAACTTGACCCATTTTTGTCTTACCTGCATTCCCACACAGTCACAGTCTAAGGTCGCGGACAAGTTCAAGCGACCGTTCCGCAAGCGTCATTCTGTGGCTGCTCATCATCAGCCGACAAATCGGGTGAATCGCTTCCTCTCCCAGGCCATAAATGCGCGTTCCGTTGATTGTGACAAATCGGAGCATGTGGACCGATTGACGCTGCGCTTTCGGCAGAGCGACAAGGAGCGGGAATACCATAAGGACTTTGATTTGGGCTTCACCACGGCCATGGGCTGTTCCCTGCTGTTGCTAATACTTGGCGCCGCACTGCAGGTGACCGCATTGCCGCGCACTTTTATCCTGTTGCTGTTGTTCCTCACGGCCTTCATTTGGGTCAGTGCCATACTGATGCTCCTGCTGGCCGTTCGCCTCAAGTGGATCATCTGGGATATATCCGAGAGCTTCTCGCTGCGCATGGCCATCACCATATTCACCATTATACTCATCTATTCCGTGGGCCAGGTGAATGTGGTAAGTGTTAAGCGTTTGCCATAGCAAATGGCATCTGTACGTTCAAAGCTGACCCCCTTTTAACGCCCAGTTTACCTGCGTTACGGATCATCCCTGCTCGGGTAACGTATCTATTTTGGACTATCAAAGCCTGGACTCTCATGGGTTCGACATGTCGCCGGCGCCCAGCAAACCGATTGATGCTCATCGCAAGTGCTCCTTGCCCCAATATGTATCCCTCTCGGCAGCCTTTGCCTTTCTGTCCGTCTCCGTGTTTCTCAGGTGAGTGCGGTTGCTGTTTAATTCGGGAATTCTTTTAACTGTGACCTTCTCCATCTTCGCAGATTGCCGATTATATTCAAATCGCTGCTCGTCCTGGGCATGGGGACCATCTATGGCCTGTTCATTGAGCTGTCGCATCAGAATATCTTTGAGTGCTACGACACGCGCGTCAAGTAGGTGGTCAAGGGTCACTCTACTGACCCACATATATACACAATTTTTTTTTTTATCCATATCCCCATATACATATATTTATATGCTTGTATCTAAGCCATTAATCAACATTTTAGAGCATCCATTCCGCTTCATTTGATCTCATTGGCGCGCATTGTCATCTTTATGATTGCGATATTGGTGCACGGGCGTTTGGTGGAGGGCACTGCCCGTCTGGACTTTCTCTGGCAGCTGCAGGCCTCCCAGGAGAAGAAGGAAATGGATGTACTGCAGGAGTCGAACAAGCGCATTTTGCACAATTTGCTGCCCGCTCATGTGGCTGCACATTTCCTCGATGCGCAATTTCGTAACAATATGGTAAGAGACATCGACCGTCCGGCCAATCCGGTAGCCCGACCAACCGGCCCGCGGCACACGGCACCCTGCACCCAGCAGCTCGCACTGACCCATTGACCCACTACTTTACCACCTGCTTTTTTTGTTTTGCCTAGGAGCTCTATCATCAGAGTTACGCCAAGGTGGGCGTCATATTTGCCAGCGTGCCAAACTTTAATGAGTTCTATACCGAAATGGATGGGTCCGATCAGGGTCTGGAGTGCCTGCGCCTGCTCAACGAGATCATTGCCGATTTCGATGAGCTGCTCAAGGAGGATCGCTTTCGGGGCATTGACAAGATCAAGACCGTCGGCAGTACCTATATGGCCGTGGTTGGCCTCATACCCGAATACAAGATTCAACCCAACGATCCCAACTCGGTGCGTCGTCACATGACAGCGCTTGTTGAATATGTCAAGGCCATGCGGCTCTCCCTTCAGGAGATTAACAGTCACTCCTACAATAACTTTATGCTTCGCGTGGGTGAGTATTCCTCCAGAGCACTAGACACCATGCGTGGCACTCACTTTAATAATAAACCAAACCAATCAACAGGCATTAATATTGGACCTGTTGTGGCGGGCGTGATCGGTGCGAGGAAGCCACAGTATGATATCTGGGGTAATACGGTGAATGTGGCCAGTCGCATGGATTCCACCGGCGTGCCCGGCTACTCACAGGTCACCCAGGAGGTAGTGGACAGTTTAATTGGCTCGCACTTTGAGTTCCGCTGCCGTGGCACCATCAAGGTGAAGGGGAAAGGCGACATGGTCACCTATTTCCTTTGCGATAGCAGCAGCAATGCGCTCAATGGCGAGGTGCGCAACGCCATGATCAGCAGCCGGCCGGCGGCGTCTGCGAATGAAACGCAGGGGCATCAGTCCCTCACACATGGTGCTGCTGGTGGTGGCGGTGGCGCTGGCGGTGGCATGCATCCGGCCGAGTACTACCAGAAGACGTCACAATTCCAAGAGAATCGTCTCAATACGGATACGTACAGCAAAAAAGATAATGGCCATCTGTACAATGTGTGTGGTGAGGAGCAACAGCTGCTGCTGCAGCATCAGCATCCACAGCCGCTGCCGCTGCCTGCACCACCCGCCCAACACCACCATTTGCATCAGCAGCAACAGCAGCGGCTCAACAGCAAGCTTCAGAAGCAGCCCAATTTTATGACCAATGGTGGATTGCCCAATATACGCGAGAATGGACACAATGGCGAGCTGCACTATTCGGCCACAAATATGATGCCGACTGCAGCAACAGTTACGGCTGCAGTGCAACAACAGCAGCAACAACAACAACAGCAACAACAACAGCAGCAACAGCAGCTCCAACTCCAGCACCAGCTCCAGATCCAGCACCAGCACCAGGTCCAGCACCAGTCCATTCCTTCGGTAATGTTGCGCGAATTCAATATAATTGAGAATCCGAATACCGGTGGCAGGCATCAGCAGCTGCAGCAGCATCAACAGCAGCAACAGCAGCTGGAACAGTTGCCGTCGGCGCAGCGGCCATATCCACATGCCAATAGCCTCGATGGAGGTGGCGTTGGGGGTGTGGTCGGTGTGCTGGGCGGTGATTGTTTCATGGTGCCGCGGCGCGAACAGCTGCGCAGCTATGCGCCGCCGCCGGCGCTGCCCTTTAACCAGCATGGCCAGCATCACCCACTGCATCATCTGTATCACCAGCATCAGCATTTGAATCAGCATCAGCCATCGTCCTCCAGCCTAAGCTATGGCCACTGCCGTGAGAGCGAGCCGCTATTGCATGCCAGCAGCGTCGCACCGGTAGCCAAGGTGAGTGAAGACGTTGACCTCATGATCTGGAGCAAAGAGATACTACTCTAAACGAAGCCCGCTCCCAACCCCAGCAGCCACCTAACGTGCCAATCCACCAGGCAACCAGCCGAGACTCCACCCAACTCCGCCCAACCACCAACCCATCCATTTGTAACTAATACAAAGCATGCATAAAGCAACCCATGTAAATGTTTGAGTGTGTGTGTGTGTGCGTCAGCGCACACAGAAAAAGTCGCTGGTTCGACTTACGATTCGAACAAACTCCCTGACATTAGGCTCGGCCCGTATACATCCGTTCGCAATACTTATAGAAAAGGAGCAAAGAAGAGATATACAAAAATTAGGCAAATATGGGCCATATTTCCACTATAAGTGCAATAGAGAGAGAGAGCGAAAGAAAGGGAAAAAGAAAGAGAAAGAGAGAGAGAGAGAGAGAGAGAGAGAGTAGTATAATTTAGCTACCAGTAAAGGGATATTTATTATGGACCCAATGAATAATCAATAAAAATTATCATTTTTCTTGCAATATAAACTGCTTTTGTAGGTAAGCTTGAGAATAAAACTCTTTTTAAGATGCATTATATTAGATTTTTTAATTAACTGAGCTATTCAAAACTATTTTATAGTTAAATATAAAAAAACTTGCTTCTGTTTATCCCGTTGGTATCTTAGATTTCGGATAGCATATCATATTTATTGATTCAGTAAAGTGATGTAGCTGATATTTCAGTTTGTATTAATAAACTGATGGAGATCCGTTTATACACCCAATTAGACAGACACACACAACAGCACACACACACACACACACACACACACACACACACACACACATTTTTGATATATTACAATAAACCTCTTCCGTGCCAACTCTTGTGAATGATGCCCCATTATTGATTGTTTTTATATTTGTATTTGTATTATATAAGTATTTGACTATCTGTGTGTCTCTAACTATGTTCCACTCTTTGCATGCTATCGCACCACGCCCACATTCACGACTAACACCTAGATCATGCCCATGCAGCATGCGCCAAAGTACGAGCCACCACGTTACACCTGTCCCAACTCCATGTTGTCACTGCAGCAGCAACATCAACAACATCAACCGCAGCAACAGCAGCAGCAGCAACTGCCGGAGCGTCAGTATGCGCTCTACTCACAGCAGCCGCCGCTGCCGCAGCTGCCACCGAAGCCGGCACTGAGAAGCTACCTGAAGCCGCTGCCCAAGCTGCCAACGGATGTTGAGGAGAATCGCGAAATGTCATCGACGGATGATTTGAGCTCTAGGCCGCATTCGCCCTCGATGAGCAGCTCCGATGAGAGCTATTCGAAGACCACCGAGGGCGAGGGTGACGGCGACGAGGACTCGCCTCGCATCAATGGCGGCCATCTGCAGCGCAACGGACACGGCAACGGGCTCGGCGTTGGGATTGGCATTGGCTACAATGTTGGTCGAGTGAATCCGCTGCAATGGCTCTACCCCTGCGATATACAAGTGGATCCCACATCGCCGATTGTGGACATGGCGCAGCTGCGCGACTTTGAGCTCAGCTCGACGACCGAGAGCCAGGGCCAGCAGACGACCAGCAACACGACCAGCAACACGCAGCACAAAGGCGACAGCTGCAATAGTTTTGACTACCAGCAGAAGCCGGCAGCAGGAGTGGCGGTATCGGGGACAACAGCGGGAGCAGCAGCTGCCACCAAGTCGCCCTTTGAGAGGGAACTGCAAAGATTGCTCAACGAATCCTCGCGGGCACGCTGCCAGGCCACCGCAACGGCGGTGGCAAACGATTCCGAGCAAACGACCAGCAATGGCAGCGCTCGCCACAACGTCGATCTGAGCTATTCGGCCAGCAACAGCAAGCTGAGCTCCATCAATGGGCACGTGCAGGGTCTCGAGGGGCTCGAGGGCGGCTCCAGCAGCAATGGCAATCTCAGTGGTGGCAGCAACTCGAATAGCGGCAACAACAACTATCATAAGGATCAACAGCAGCAGGATCATGATCTGCTCGCCATGGCCATTCAGGTAAACGGCAAGCTTCCCATGAGCAACAGCTTCATGATATCCAAGCATCCCGTCGGCCTCGAGGCCATCAAGGAAATAACGCGCCACAAGAACCCCTCCGAGTCCAGTCAAATGTGAGTAAAGCACAACTAACTGCAATCATTAACCAGCCTAGCCAGCCATAACCCACCACCCATAACCCATTGGCCAATGCCTTGAACCGGTTCCGACACCCGCCCCCATATGTATCTAATACCAAGCAGCAGCCATCGACATAACCATAACCATAACCATAACCAAGTTCCAATCACTTACGCATTTTTATAGGATCCGAAGTATCGCCGGATCGGTCAAGATACAAGCAAATCCCTCAGCTCTGTTTTAGCATACCTGAGCTGAATACGCCTATTTCGGTTTTAGATTTCAAATATTCTTAGACGCCGACTTAACGAGGCTAATAAAATACGTTTAAAATTCCAGGATAGAATAAGTATATAAATGTCCTACAAAATTGGCGTACCGTTTCCGTTCAAAATAGAGATTTAGATTTTACGTAAAGTAGACAAGGCAGAGGACATACAAATTAGTGGCATTGAGATTTCACACTTAACATGTTGCATAATTTATAATTTTCAGGCAAACCTCGGACACGGAATCGTGCGAGATTCTGCACGAGAATCGCAGCCAGATGCATGCGTTGGCCATGCTGGAGCTGCATGCGGCCAAGGAGCAGCAGCAGCAACAGCAACAGCAGCAGCAGCAGCAGAGATCGCATCGGCAGCGTCCGCGCTCCAAGGAGCTGCAGCACAGCTACGAGAGCCTCGACAGGCTGGATGGTTCGATGCCGCAGCAGCAGTCGCAGCGGCAAAGACATCATCATCACCATCATCACCACCATCAGCAGCGGCAACTGCAGCAACAGCGCTACAACCATGTGGAGCAGGAGGAACGCGATGATACCGAAGACAACCTGGCCGATGAGGAGTTCGAGGATGATGAGGTGGGGCGCGACGTGCGACAGAAGCGCCTGCTGCAGAGTGACCACAACAAGCAAAAGAATGAAAAGCTGCAGCAGGCGCAGAACGAGGAGCTGGAGCAGCAGCAGCAACAAACGGAGCAGGAGCACGAGCAACTAAGGGGGGAGACGGCGCCGCTGACCAATGGCAGCTTGCGCATGGAAGCGAATGTGATAAACGATGAACTGAAGTATGGTGCGGCCCATCACAACCACCAGTCCATGGACTCCAATCCGTTGGAGAGCCAATCGGAGTGGTCGGACGATGATTGCCGCGAGGAGGCCACAGGTAAATAGACCAGCAATTATTTTCGATAACAAACCATAACTGCTCTACTTTTCTTTCTCTCTCTATCACGAAGGCGGCGCAGAGTCAACAGGCTATATAACCGATGAGCCTGGCCTGGAGAATATCTCGCTGTTAAACGAGGCTGGTCTGACCGATGCTGAGGGCGCCTTGTCGGACGTCAACTCGCTGTATAATGCGCCCGATGTGGATGACACCTCGGTGTCGAGTCGGGCCAGCTCGCGCCTGCTCAGCCTGGACTCGCTAAGCGGGCTGTATGATTGTGATTTGGACTCAAAGCATGAGCTGGCCATTGTGAATGCCTCGCACAAGATAACCAGCAAGTTTGGACCACCGCCGTCGCCGGCACAGCAACAGCAGCAGCCATCGGCGGCAGCAGCAGCAGCAGCAGTTGCAGCAGTAGCAGCTGCTGGAGCAGTAACTCAGGCACCAGCAGCACAGTTGCCGGAGCAGCAGCAACAACAAAGTTAAAGAGATTTGTACTTAAGGATGAAAAATATGAAGTTATTGAGCACGCAAAGCAAACCAGAAAAACAGAAATCCAGCACTCAAAACGTTGTTACTGCTAAATGCAAACGGTGTCTATTAATTTACAATACTACAACTACAACAAAGTTTGTTAAGATATATATTTATATATATACCCTATATAGATATACATATATATACATATGTGTTGTACAGGAAGGAAAACAGAAACGAGACATAAGTTCTCATGGGTTGCTTTCCATTTCTATTACTAACGGCACTCTCTTTAAATATAGGATTGTATGTTTTTTTTTTGTCATTATTATTAGGTATTATATACATAGTATATATAAAAATAAATATATGTAATTACAAATAGATATATTTAGTCATTGGCCCAGTTGAACGTTCCAGTTAAACCCCACACAAAAAAAAAAACAAAAATGTATTGAGAATTAATTTCGATGTGAATTCTATAAACTCTATACTGATATTATGCGAAGTATGTATGTATATGCTTAAAGGTATATATAGGCAAAACCATCACAATTATCATTAAAAACGATTTGTGGATACATAATTAATTTGTGCGCTTAGCCTCTATGAGATATACTTTTCTAATTTGTTGTACACAATATAAGTACATATACCTATAATAGTAGTACATCATTTACTATGTATACCTACCTGTATGGCATATATTATTTAATAATCGAATAGATAACTACAACAAATGCATGACACGTTGTAAATAAAGCGAAATATATATATATATATATATAGTCTACAATTTAAACCTTCATGAACGCCCTCTGCATATTTGGATGAAAAAAAAAAAAAAATTGCAAGTAACAATTTGATGGTCTGTTCCAATACGTTAATGCTTTTAATTGAAAACTTACGGCTTCTGTATTTGCTTAACTATAAATATATATTATATATCTAGCTGATCTGTTGGTCTTACGCCAAGCGTCATGTGCCATTTATCGTAGCCTACTTTTAGCTGCTGCGTTAAAATGTTGCCTACTTTGAGGCCTGGCTTGCACACACCTTTTGTACATACACACACACACATAAACACACGCATACGATACGTACTTATCATATAATTATTTAAGTTATAAGCGAGCTTTTTGCTAAAATAAAAAAATATGTCGAAAAGGCTCTAAGTCAATTTTTTGTTGGCTGTTGCACAATTTTCGAAATTTCCCCGCAAAGATTTTCTCATTTGCCATACGGCAGCATAATTTGCTTAATCTGTAGACGTATAGCTATGTATATACGTGCATGTAGATCGTATTTGCCTATTTAATACGTTTTGAAATATAAACTATGAATGTATCGTAACATGATTCACAAAAAACTATGGGAAATTCAAAGATATTGTTGATAACTGTCTTGTGATGAACCCAAAACGTACAACCCAGACAACTAAAACAGATATAACAAAAAAACAAAAAGAAAAGAAAAAAAACAAAATGAAAAACAAACAAAGATTAGAATACAAATAAAGCCCATATTTTGTGTGAACAATTTATGAGAACGCTACTGAGCGCAAATATTATACATATTACGTAATTATGTAACAACAAATGAACATTTAACCTAGAGAAGCAAATAACAACAAAACAGCCCACAGATTAACTTATGCAGACCACAAAAATTATATAAAATTAAAGAGATATTACGCAAAAGTATATACACAATAAATACCTATATATATAATATATATATATATCACAGAACCACAGCGATGCAATAAGTTAGAGAGAAATAGAGACAGACAGAGAGAAAGAGTTTTGCAACAAACTGCAGGCATGATATTTATTTTTCTGTACCGAAATGCAAATTAATGATATCTATGTATCTACAAAAAAGATATATACAAAACAAAATTTTTAAAAATTATATATACTACATATGGAAATGTATGTGTGAGCAGAAACAAAAGCAACTACTTATAGCTGTATCTCCATATAGCTGAGTGCGGCAAAAATTAAAGACCCATAATAAAAACTTACAAGTAAATATAACTAAATGGCAGCATATCAAATATCGAGTATTTTCTAATTTGCAAGTGGATAATGGTTGGCTTTCTTAAATCGTGAAAAAAGGTACGCATTTGTGCAAATTGTTATTGGCAATAGTCTTAGCCAAATATTGTAGCTAGAAACGAATTGGCCAGATAGATAGAACAAATACAATTGTTGGGCTGACAATAATTTCTGGAAATTCCAATAACTTTCTCGCATATGGCTAAGCATTCTATTTAATTATTCTGGATTGATCCGGATATTAGTTAATGCACATCTTATTAGGATTTGGGCAGCAAAATTTGCGCCATAAAAGACGTGAAACTGAATCGATTAGTGTGCTTCACATACTTTGCGACTTTACAGCCCAATTTATGTCAAGAACGGCAGATTTTCAAAATCTTCAGAAGCAGGTTTGTTCGCGTATATATAAATATATATATATATATAAATATTAGGTCTCGGTTCGTTTCCGAACAATCGCATTTAATCACGTTAACAATCTGGAATCTAGTATAATTTGATTTATTTCATTCATTATGCTCAGGCTCAAGCGTTTGGTTTTTCACTGAATATGTTAGTTTGCACCCGCGTTAACGTTAACTAATTTAAGTAATCTTTGACAAGTTTTGCACACACGCAGGACCGATGCCTGATATAAGTTTATCAGCTGATTAGTAGTCAGAGTATTTCCAAAACCCTAAACCATCTGAGCATAATCTTAACTACTTTATCAGTTTTACACGCATTTAAGTATTTACTATTATTATAAAAAAACAATAGTATTGTTTTTTGGTTGGTGTTCTTTTTTTCGATTGTTTATTTGTTTTGAACTTTTTGCATGTTGATAAGCAACAACAAGGTATTACGCATCACATAGCGCAGTCCAATTGGTTGTAGTCTTATGTATTACAATACTTGCCGCTTTGTATGAATAATCATGCAAATTTTTGGACGAGCTGAATATTGTTAGAGCGGTTCGCAATCAGGGCTGCAAGTCGGGCTTGAAACGAACCAGTTTGAGTCTTATGCACTATTTGCTATATGTCGAGGCTTAAGCCAAATCAATTTTTTTGGTTGGTTTTTGATTCTGATAACCAAAGAAATGTTGAAAACATAAAAGAAATGAAAATCTGAGTTCTGAGACTCGAACCTATAGACAGGAAGTTGGTTTAAGTCGTGATCTGCACCATCGACATTTGTTGTTTTTAATTTTTTTTTTTTGGTTTTCAGCTCTGTTTGTGAGAACTTTAGCCAAATTTTACGAATATCAGTTATGCCACAGCCCTCATTTATGTCTACGGAAGGCAGTCTGTATTGTTGATACACCTGGAATGATGGGGGCAGGTTGACAAATATTAAAACTATACTGAAAATAGATTTATTAACTAACAGTTGTCTTCACTTGAGAACATGGGGCAACATTTGAGCTAAAGCAGAGTTTGGCTCTGTTATGATATTATACTTATACTTCCATAATGAGCATATTAATTGTTTTGGTAAATGTAAAATATTGTTAATCAATGCCTGGAATACAGATGCTCGGCAACTGGCAAACAGAGTTGGAGGCATGAATCGCATGTGTTTGGCTTATTGATATAACTTTTTATATTTCTACAAAATATACAAATAGAAGTTAAATAAATAAAATACAAGTTAAATAATTAAAAATGCCTTGCCATATTTTCACGTTTATGGACAGCTTATTCAGCGACTACTATATAAGCCCAAACTAGAGGCACATTGGCAGTTACGTATTTAGCCATGTTGCGAATTGTTTTGGCAATATTTTCGGCGCTGCCTCTGGTCCTCGGACAGACGAATTACTGTGCTGAGAGCCTGTGCGGTACCGCGACGCACATTGCATGCAACAACAATGGGGTAAGACTATTGGAAATGCATATGCATATGTGGCCATGTTGCCAGCCAATTGACTGTCGATTTCTTAGGCCTGGGACGCCAGCTGCCCGACTAGTCCGGCGCCCTTTGTTATCGACATGAATCTGGACCTGAGGCAACTTGTGGTGCGGCTGCATAACGTCAGGCGCAACAATCTGGCTCTGGGCAAGGTGGCCAATTACGGGCCAGCCCGTAGAATGGCCACCATGCGCTGGAGTCCAGAGCTGGCCACGCTGGCAGCACTGAATGTGCGCCAGTGCGCGATGGAGCATGATGCTTGCCACAATACGAACAAGTTCAAGGCCAGCGGCCAAAACTTGGCTATGATTTCCTACACGGGCGCACAGGCGAGCCGCACCAACGCGGAGCTGCTCACCTCTTCCATTAACAGCTGGTGGAGTGAGCTCAAGAATGCGAACATGGTGGTTATCAACAGTTATCCAAGCAGCTGGAGCGGAGGGTAAGTAACAGCAGAAGCCATCGATTGATCAATTCAATTCTTCCGAGACTTACCCACTACACTTCTTCTCCTCCTGCTTCTCCTCCCTCTCCGCGCAGTCAAATTGGCCACTTTACTGCCATGGCCCAGCAGGCGAACATTGCCGTTGGCTGCGCTGCCGCCAGGTTTGTCAAAGGCGACTGGAATAACTTCCTCCTGGCCTGTAACTATGCTACCACAAACTGGGTCGGCAAACCTGTTTACGTGCGTGGACCGACAGCTGCAGGCTGCAATACGGGCACAAATGTCAACTATGCGGGTCTCTGCAAGGTGGCCGAAGTCTACAATGTCTAAATCACGTTTTGTATGAATAAAAATCTTTTGCAATCATATTTTCACTTGTTATTGTAGGGATTATGTCGGTATTAATATATAGATCTATTCCGTCAATCGCTAATCGTCCAAAACAGAGCTTTTATTATTTTGTCATGTTCTGGCCATTGTGAATGCCTCGCACAAGATAACCAGCAAGTTTGGACCACCGCCGTCGCCGGCACAGCAACAGCAGCAGCCATCGGCAGCAGCAGCAGCAGCAGCAGTTGCAGCAGTAGCAGTTGCTGGAGCAGTAACTCAGGCACCAGCAGCACAGTTGCCGGAGCAGCAGCAACAACAAAGTTAAAGAGATTTGTACTTAAGGATGAAAAATATGAAGTTATTGAGCACGCAAAGCAAACCAGAAAAACAGAAATCCAGCACTCAAAACGTTGTTACTGCTAAATGCAAACGGTGTCTATTAATTTACAATACTACAACTACAACAAAGTTTGTTAAGATATATATTTATATATATACCCTATATAGATATACATATATATACATATGTGTTGTACAGGAAGGAAAACAGAAACGAGACATAAGTTCTCATGGGTTGCTTTCCATTTCTATTACTAACGGCACTCTCTTTAAATATAGGATTGTATGTTTTTTTTTGTCATTATTATTAGGTATTATATACATAGTATATATAAAAATAAATATATGTAATTACAAATAGATATATTTAGTCATTGGCCCAGTTGAACGTTCCAGTTAAACCCCACACAAAAAAAAAAAAAAACAAAAATGTATTGAGAATTAATTACGATGTGAATTCTATAAACTCTATACTGATATTATGCGAAGTATGTATGTATATGCTTAAAGGTATATATAGGCAAAACCATCACAATTATCATTAAAAACGATTTGTGGATACATAATTAATTTGTGCGCTTAGCCTCTATGAGATATACTTTTCTAATTTGTTGTACACAATATAAGTACATATACCTATAATAGTAGTACATCATTTACTATGTATACCTACCTGTATGGCATATATTATTTAATAATCGAATAGATAACTACAACAAATGCATGACACGTTGTAAATAAAGCGAAATATATATATATATATATATATATATAGTCTACAATTTAAACCTTCATGAACGCCCTCTGCATATTTGGATGAAAAAAAAAAAAATTGCAAGTAACAATTTGATGGTCTGTTCCAATACGTTAATGCTTTTAATTGAAAACTTACGGCTTCTGTATTTGCTTAACTATAAATATATATTATATATCTAGCTGATCTGTTGGTCTTACGCCAAGCGTCATGTGCCATTTATCGTAGCCTACTTTTAGCTGCTGCGTTAAAATGTTGCCTACTTTGAGGCCTGGCTCGCACACACCTTTTGTACATACACACACACACACATAAACACACGCATACGATACGTACTTATCATATAATTATTTAAGTTATAAGCGAGCTTTTTGCTAAAATAAAAAAATATGTCGAAAAGGCTCTAAGTCAATTTTTTGTTGGCTGTTGCACAATTTTCGAAATTTCCCCGCAAAGATTTTCTCATTTGCCATACGGCAGCATAATTTGCTTAATCTGTAGACGTATAGCTATGTATATACGTGCATGTAGATCGTATTTGCCTATTTAATACGTTTTGAAATATAAACTATGAATGTATCGTAACATGATTCACAAAAAACTATGGGAAATTCAAAGATATTGTTGATAACTGTCTTGTGATGAACCCAAAAAACGTACAACCCAGACAACTAAAACAGATATAACAAAAAAACAAAAAGAAAAGAAAAAAAACAAAATGAAAAACAAACAAAGATTAGAATACAAATAAAGCCCATATTTTGTGTGAACAATTTATGAGAACGCTACTGAGCGCAAATATTATACATATTACGTAATTATGTAACAACAAATGAACATTTAACCTAGAGAAGCAAATAACAACAAAACAGCCCACAGATTAACTTATGCAGACCACAAAAATTATATAAAATTAAAGAGATATTACGCAAAAGTATATACACAATAAATACCTATATATATAATATATATATATATATCACAGAACCACAGCGATGCAATAAGTTAGAGAGAAATAGAGACAGACAGAGAGAAAGAGTTTTGCAACAAACTGCAGGCATGATATTTATTTTTCTGTACCGAAATGCAAATTAATGATATCTATGTATCTACAAAAAAGATATATACAAAACAAAATTTTTAAAAATTATATATACTACATATGGAAATGTATGTGTGAGCAGAAACAAAAGCAACTACTTATAGCTGTATCTCCATATAGCTGAGTGCGGCAAAAATTAAAGACCCATAATAAAAACTTACAAGTAAATATAACTAAATGGCAGCATATCAAATATCGAGTATTTTCTAATTTGCAAGTGGATAATGGTTGGCTTTCTTAAATCGTGAAAAAAGGTACGCATTTGTGCAAATTGTTATTGGCAATAGTCTTAGCCAAATATTGTAGCTAGAAACGAATTGGCCAGATAGATAGAACAAATACAATTGTTGGGCTGACAATAATTTCTGGAAATTCCAATAACTTTCTCGCATATGGCTAAGCATTCTATTTAATTATTCTGGATTGATCCGGATATTAGTTAATGCACATCTTATTAGGATTTGGGCAGCAAAATTTGCGCCATAAAAGACGTGAAACTGAATCGATTAGTGTGCTTCACATACTTTGCTACTTTACAGCCCAATTTATGTCAAGAACGGCAGATTTTCAAAATCTTCAGAAGCAGGTTTGTTCGCGTATATATAAATATATATATATATATAAATATTAGGTCTCGGTTCGTTTCCGAACAATCGCATTTAATCACGTTAACAATCTGGAATCTAGTATAATTTGATTTATTTCATTCATTATGCTCAGGCTCAAGCGTTTGGTTTTTCACTGAATATGTTAGTTTGCACCCGCGTTAACGTTAACTAATTTAAGTAATCTTTGACAAGTTTTGCACACACGCAGGACCGATGCCTGATATAAGTTTATCAGCTGATTAGTAGTCAGAGTATTTCCAAAACCCTAAACCATCTGAGCATAATCTTAACTACTTTATCAGTTTTACACGCATTTAAGTATTTACTATTATTATAAAAAAACAATAGTATTGTTTTTTGGTTGGTGTTCTTTTTTTCGATTGTTTATTTGTTTTGAACTTTTTGCATGTTGATAAGCAACAACAAGGTATTACGCATCACATAGCGCAGTCCAATTGGTTGTAGTCTTATGTATTACAATACTTGCCGCTTTGTATGAATAATCATGCAAATTTTTGGACGAGCTGAATATTGTTAGAGCGGTTCGCAATCAGGGCTGCAAGTCGGGCTTGAAACGAACCAGTTTGAGTCTTATGCACTATTTGCTATATGTCGAGGCTTAAGCCAAATCAATTTTTTTGGTTGGTTTTTGATTCTGATAACCAAAGAAATGTTGAAAACATAAAAGAAATGAAAATCTGAGTTCTGAGACTCGAACCTATAGACAGGAAGTTGGTTTAAGTCGTGATCTGCACCATCGACATTTGTTGTTTTTAATTTTTTTTTTTTGGTTTTCAGCTCTGTTTGTGAGAACTTTAGCCAAATTTTACGAATATCAGTTATGCCACAGCCCTCATTTATGTCTACGGAAGGCAGTCTGTATTGTTGATACACCTGGAATGATGGGGGCAGGTTGACAAATATTAAAACTATACTGAAAATAGATTTATTAACTAACAGTTGTCTTCACTTGAGAACATGGGGCAACATTTGAGCTAAAGCAGAGTTTGGCTCTGTTATGATATTATACTTATACTTCCATAATGAGCATATTAATTGTTTTGGTAAATGTAAAATATTGTTAATCAATGCCTGGAATACAGATGCTCGGCAACTGGCAAACAGAGTTGGAGGCATGAATCGCATGTGTTTGGCTTATTGATATAACTTTTTATATTTCTACAAAATATACAAATAGAAGTTAAATAAATAAAATACAAGTTAAATAATTAAAAATGCCTTGCCATATTTTCACGTTTATGGACAGCTTATTCAGCGACTACTATATAAGCCCAAACTAGAGGCACATTGGCAGTTACGTATTTAGCCATGTTGCGAATTGTTTTGGCAATATTTTCGGCGCTGCCTCTGGTCCTCGGACAGACGAATTACTGTGCTGAGAGCCTGTGCGGTACCGCGACGCACATTGCATGCAACAACAATGGGGTAAGACTATTGGAAATGCATATGCATATGTGGCCATGTTGCCAGCCAATTGACTGTCGATTTCTTAGGCCTGGGACGCCAGCTGCCCGACTAGTCCGGCGCCCTTTGTTATCGACATGAATCTGGACCTGAGGCAACTTGTGGTGCGGCTGCATAACGTCAGGCGCAACAATCTGGCTCTGGGCAAGGTGGCCAATTACGGGCCAGCCCGTAGAATGGCCACCATGCGCTGGAGTCCAGAGCTGGCCACGCTGGCAGCACTGAATGTGCGCCAGTGCGCGATGGAGCATGATGCTTGCCACAATACGAACAAGTTCAAGGCCAGCGGCCAAAACTTGGCTATGATTTCCTACACGGGCGCACAGGCGAGCCGCACCAACGCGGAGCTGCTCACCTCTTCCATTAACAGCTGGTGGAGTGAGCTCAAGAATGCGAACATGGTGGTTATCAACAGTTATCCAAGCAGCTGGAGCGGAGGGTAAGTAACAGCAGAAGCCATCGATTGATCAATTCAATTCTTCCGAGACTTACCCACTACACTTCTTCTCCTCCTGCTTCTCCTCCCTCTCCGCGCAGTCAAATTGGCCACTTTACTGCCATGGCCCAGCAGGCGAACATTGCCGTTGGCTGCGCTGCCGCCAGGTTTGTCAAAGGCGACTGGAATAACTTCCTCCTGGCCTGTAACTATGCTACCACAAACTGGGTCGGCAAACCTGTTTACGTGCGTGGACCGACAGCTGCAGGCTGCAATACGGGCACAAATGTCAACTATGCGGGTCTCTGCAAGGTGGCCGAAGTCTACAATGTCTAAATCACGTTTTGTATGAATAAAAATCTTTTGCAATCATATTTTCACTTGTTATTGTAGGGATTATGTCGGTATTAATATATAGATCTATTCCGTCAATCGCTAATCGTCCAAAACAGAGTTTTTATTATTTTGTCATGTTCTTTAATCAACCTAATGTCGACAATGCAAGTGGTACCAATAATATATAGAAACCCTTCCATGGCCATTCACCATATGTCCGTGCCACACACAAGACAATAAAATCCATTACAAACGGATTTGTAAACAACAAGACTGTCATGTGCTCTGAGATCTTGCCGCTTACTCAGATCCAATCAACCAACAAAGTAAACACGAGCTAAGAAACTTATTATTGAGCTTGCTGCTCATATTAATTGGGCTTCATAGAAATTGTCTCGCCTCTGATGCACAAGACCAAAAAAAAGGTCTGTTTTAGTTAATTCAACACATGTTTTCTAATTTAAATTAACAAGTATTCTGTCTTCCATCTACTCGTACCAACTGTGTTGATGCTCAGCCAACTCCGCAACTAAATCAACATTTATAAATTGACAATTGCTGCCGAATTATAAATTGACAATTGCTGCCGAATTTAAATAAGCGAGTGCTCGCACTCAGATACCTGGTCAGCATTTTCGATGATTTTCATGAAAAACTTTTTCCACATTTGGGAGTCGAAACTAAATCCGACTTGGTGCACACTTTCAACCCAAAAGAAAGTTTTAGTACAAATTTCAGTTTCTTGGTTTTCAAGGTTTGGGCTATGCCTTGCTCAATGTTGGAGCAGGAACTCTTTTATGTAATGAATATATATTTTTAAATTTCTCTATTTTCTAAGCTAATAACTTGCCGGACAGACTTTAAATTTTCCCTCACCGGCATCTTTTTTTCCTATACACTTAACACTCTATATATCTAGTATACATTTCTTTACTTTATCAATAACTTCTATCTTCCTTTTTTCCTGTTTATTGTTTATTCTTAAATAATATAGTAAATTTAGATTAATTTAATTTTTAATTAATAACACTATTTTCTCTACGAACACCTTACTTTTTAGCCGTAGGCTTTAATAGCGTCACTGACAAAATTAGCTGTGAAAAGGGGCGTAGCTCGCCGTGTATTCTAATTGGTTTTTTAGCATTTAATGTTCATATTGAGGTGTATTGAATGCTTAGGAAGACTTTCGATTTTGTCGAGCATTAGTAAATAATTAAATAAAAATAAAAACTAAAATACATGCTCCCAGCAAAACTATATTTGTATGATCTCTTATGCCAAACGCTGCACATTAAAGTATAATAAATATTCCCATAAGGTTTGCAGGCTTTCATGCTTTGATTAAAATCGGGAAGATTATTTTAAGAAAACTGATTTTGAAATTTTATGTTTTTATTGATATGTGTCAATGTGTGTATGTATGTGGTGTGTGTTTGTATAGTAGCCTTTTCAAATTGCGAAAACCTCTCCCTTATTTTCTAGCTCTTTCGTCCTCTTTCTCTATCTGATATGTACAGTGAACACTATCACTATTCGCCTCTTGGGCGAATATTTTCGCACACACCAATTTAAACCAGGCTGCACTTAAAAAACCCCGACAACGTGGATATAACAATATACACAACGATCGCTCTCGGCCGATCTCTCTCGGGAGAGTTTTCACGGCATATAGAACTTGAATAGTGGGTGTGTGTGTGTTAATTTGTTTTAATACTTTTGTTTAAGTTCGGTTAGCTAATTTACTGTTCCTGTTTGTAGAGCATTGCCATAGGGTCAACATTTGTGTTTGACAAGTAAATATGGTCAAGGCACGTGCCTGCCCCTTTCTCCCTTGCGTTTAAACATTCTCTCTTGTTGCCAGCCATCTCTCCGTCGCGTTTTATAGCATTGAACTTGAAAATTCGCACTTTGGCATTTCCACTTCTTTTGGACATTTTCGGCAGTGGATTCGGTGAATTATCAGCGTGCATTATCTTTAGCTACTGGTGACGTCTTTTATTGTTGTTTGGCTCCATTCCGAAATAAACGTTTGCATATCGTTGTGAGAACTGAGCCAACTTTGAAATAAATATTTAATCAATTGTTACGCCCGCTAGATAAAGGGGCCCGCTGCCGGCACAGTGGGTATAAAAGCAAGAACCGCAGCCACAGCTGGCAACAATCGAGCCAGGCTATCGAAATGCGCAACATACTATCCATAACAGCTGTAGCCCTACTGCTGGGCATCGCCAGTGGCACGGACTACTGCCAAACGAGCTGTGGCAGCACCCAGAACATTGGCTGCAACAACAGTGGGGTGAGGGGCAATCGAATGTAGCGTTCTATCTATGACTAGCTAACGTACTTGTTTTTCCATTACAGGCCTGGGGATCGGCATGCCCCAGCGATAGGGCCTTGGTGGATCTGACGACGTCCGATCAGAACGCGATTGTGGCCAAGCACAATGAATACCGCAATTTCATTGCCGGCGGCGGGGATAGCAAGCTGTCGCCCGCATGCCGCATGGCCACCATGCAGTGGAGCGATGAGCTGGCCTATCTGGCATCCCTGAACGTCAAGAGCTGCCAGATGAGTCACGATGGCTGCCACAATACGGACGACTTCAAATGGTCCGGCCAGAATCTGGCCTGGATCGGCTATTTTGATCCGCTGAACGCAACGGCCAATGCTATCAGCTCCGTAACCATGTGGTACAACGAGGTATCAAACACCCAGCAGTCCCAAATCGATGCCTATCCATCCAACTACAACGGACCTACTATTGGCCATTTCACCGTTATGGTCGCCGATCGCAATACGCACGTGGGCTGCGCCGCATCTACCTATTCGGTTTCGGGTCAGTCCTACAAGGCCTTCCTCATGGCCTGCAACTATGCCGCCACCAATGTGATTGGCGTCAAGATGTACAGCTCGTGCACGGTCCCGGCCAGCAAGTGCACCACGGGAGTCAATCCCAGCTACAAGTTCCTGTGCAGCACCAACGAAGTCTACGATGTCAACAACCTGAACTACTGAGGCTCACGTAACATTGTTATGAAATAAACTTAATGCATACAAAAGAATATGGGAACTTCTAATTGGAATTTGGAGATATTGCTTTTGCTTATTGAGCAACAGGAAACAGCTCTGCGGCTTTAATTAAGTCCTTTTACTTAACGGAGCAACATAATATGATAGAGGCACAACGAAGTTCAAACTTACTGTATTATTTCGATATCCATTACGGATGGTAAACTAGTCCATTATAGATCTGTCTCTCTACTGCTTTTTCTTATGACTATATTGGTTAAAGAAATCAACTTTTATTAACCCTGCACACATTTCCTTCAATAAAGGTTGAATCAGCGAGTTCGCCTCTCTATGCGACTTTCATGTGCTCCTGCTAGCGTCTCAGACTTCGACGGCAATTTGAAATTTATAATTGATTGTTTGATTGACTAACTGATTGCTCACTCGGCAAATTCGGAATATTGTTGAAAAACGATTGCATTCTATTTTTCGCATATCGTTCACACGCATTTATAAAGATCTCTTTGAACATTTATTGGACATGTTTCGCACTATCCACTTCCAATTTTGAAAAGTTTTGGTATTGTCCGATTGGCAAACAAAATTTTAGGTAATATGTATTTGAAATGCTATTTGAAACACGATTAACCAGATGCAGAAATGAATAGGAAAATTCATAGTACAGTATGATGCTAGGCAAATATATGCTGGCGAATTCTCAACGGGATACAGGGTATTTTATAGTTGTGCAATCAACACAATTGTAGCGTAAATTATTTGTCAAAAAAAAAAGAATAACATTGCGTTCCTAAGAAGCAAAAATATTTGTGCTCTTTAGCCCGTCTACAATATGATAGTAGAGATACTTAGTAGAGCAAATTTTTGAATGAGCTTCAACTTTACGCTTAAAAGCAATTATTGCTTTTGAATGGCGCTTGAGATAACTCGCAGAGATAACTTAAAGATAAATATGAACAGATTTATACATGAATTATTCAACTCGTGCAAATTACATAGCGCGACTGGAAAACTATCCTAATCGTCTGGCTATTCGTGTTCTTAAAAGGCGTAGAATTGGAGGAGTCCGAACGCAGTGGAGATTGCGAAGGTCACACCCAAGCCATCACCCAGATCGATTTATATAGTCTCCCTTGTAAATTTGTACATTAGATTTACCAGTAGAATAAGTTTAAGTTCCATATACATTTTTTTAAGATGTTCCTAATAATATTAGAAAAATTAAAATCAAGCAAACAAAATGTTTAGATACGTGCCGGACAGCGTTTTACACATTTATATATTTTTGGCCCGAAAATGATGCATACTTTTATGTGCCAGTGTTTCATTCTGAGCTGGACAGGTGCAGCCTATAAAATGAATTAAGTTGTATAACGATGGCAACTCTTTAAAATTGTAAGCCGATTGACTCTGCAGGGGCTTCGATGCAAATATTACGTATACCTTGTGAAAATATGTAAGATATTCCAAATATAACTACAGCATACTTTGCAACAGGCCATGGAAAATGAATTTAAAAAAAAACTGTTAGGCTTTTTATGACCAATACCATGTTTTAATACCCTTACGGTTGTGCAGGTATGTGCTAGTTACAGCTACCGATTCTCTCTATAGTGCTGTATAATAAAGTACTGTGATATTGACAGGATTTGGCTCATTTGTCAGCATCGTAGTTTAACAACTAAATGTCGAGTTCGGTCAAGATATCTTAGAAATAAAAAAGTTCTTCTCTATCCGATCGCTGCTATGGAAGCTATATGATTCAGTGTTCAGATCTGGCCGGTTCCGACATATGTAGAGCAACAGAAAAATGAACGTTTGCAATGCTGATCTAGAATATATGTACCTTTTGGGGTCGAAGATGTCACCTTCGATGCGTTAAACATTTCATAACAAAGTTACAATACCCTCTACATGGGTATCAAAGGATTTCTCTAACAGGCAGCAGAATGCTTTTTTTAACTAAAAGGCTTTGATATTCTTGATCGCAATCAACAGCAGAGTCGAGCAAATCTTGTTCTTTGACCTGTCATCCTTTCAGAGATCAGGCTCGATAACTAGCCCATATTTCATAATTTATATGAACTATGGATACCAAATTTGGTATGATGGCTCTAGTGAATACAGATCCAAAATATTTCACTCTGTGAATACCTACTCGTGTGCTCGCAAAAATTGCAAAATGTGCTGCATACTTTTCTGCGTCCGTGTTAAATTTCACAATGGGGTGCTTTCAATTCATGCATGTATGTATTTATGCCAGACATCAGACATCAGATTGTTGCTTCATTTGCTTGCCTGCGGGCAGTCGGTGCATTGCTTTTGCACCGAGACTGTTTTCCTCGCATCCCGTCGACGGGCTCTTTGATTTTGATGCCAACATGCGTATGGGTATTGCTGTTGGCAACTGTTGTCTATTGCAATCGCTGTTATAAGCGCGCGCCAGCAACAGTTCCAGCTCGCAGCCCCAAGTCAAAACAACCCACCGCACACACACACAGGCACACACGCACACACATACAGACCGCGTCACGCCTTCAGTTGTGCTCTGTCATTGTTGTTACATGCCGAATTTGTCGTGAAATGTTTTGGTAATCAATTTATATGTTCCGCGACGTCTCTAGCGCCCAACTCCAGCTGGCAGCTTTAGTTCGTGTGGTCGAACCACAGAGCCAGCGACTGGCAGCTGTCTTCAGCCCAGTTAGCTGGCAAAACTCACCTGGAAAAGTTCTCAGCTCGACTAGCTAACTCATATCGCGCTCTGTTATTCCCAGCTACAGTTGCCTGCAGACCCCCATGAGCCCTGTCTGTCTATTTCCAGCTCCAGCTTCAGCTTCAGCACTGGCTTCAGCCTTTCGTACGTGAAAATGAAGCATTTTCCATTTGATGATAAGAAAACATGTTTGGCATATTGATGAATGCCTCTAGAGAATTGTGTTGTTGTGCTCAGTGCGCTTGTGTCTGTTGGCAGGGCCCCCCGCCCCTCGTCCGCTCCTGTCCGCCCACTCTTCATCGCGCTGCCATAAAGCAGCTTGCCACGCGCTGCGGCACATCCACAACTTGCGGCAAGGATTGGAATTAGGTGGCGACGGCCAACGAGCTCGATTTTAATGATGTGACTGACGGGCGAAAGCGCTTACCAAAAATGTACTCATGTACGTTTCCTTTTTGTTTTCATATTTTTTCATATTTCCCCGCCAACCAACCCTCTCCGCGCCCGTTCATCTGTTTATTTATGCGTGCGCCGGCGTTTGTTTGCTTTGTGAATACGTGATGCGCCCACGGGTAATGGCAGGCGCCATCCAAGACGACGTCCTGGGCTGGGTGTGGGTCTGTGCCTGTGGAAGGGCCGCACACATTTGCTTATGCTAGCATAATATACATCTTTTTTTTTTTAGTTGCCGACATTGGAAATAATAATAATAAAAATAATAATAATAATTTCTCACTTCATTTGTTGCGCAAATCGAAAATGAGCTTCGTCTTTGGAACCGTAACTGGAGCACCACCAACCCACCGACCCACCGAACCACCAGCCCAACAGGCTCTGCTTGATGTTGCCTGATGGCCGCTGATGGGTTTGCTGTGGTTTCTTCCTACGGTTTCTAGCATTGAATTTTAATGAGCTGAGCAACGCTGCGTATGCGCAATTTGAGCAGCCAATGGGCAATCAGCGAGAATGCAAAATCAGTTGACGGAGTCGGGTCTGTAAGAAAATGATTCGTATACCCTAGCAGTGCGTTTTGTCCTTTTGTAAGACCATATGTAACAAAGGCGATAGCTTTGACTTTAGATGGCTTGTACATATAGCGGGGAGATCTGACCCGGCCCAATTGTTTTTCTTATTTTTAAGCACATTAACTGCCCATGGTTAAAATAAAATTTACGTGTGCTACCCATGTCCTATTTGTCCCTCTACATAGATCTTTAAAAAATGCAATTAAAATCAATCGCATGAGGGTGGAGGGTACACCCACAATTTGTGCAAAACACATCTCCAAAATATATATTTCAAAATAGATCTCAATAAATAAGCTTGTAGCTGAATTCGAAATAAATAAAAATGTTTCATGTAAGGCTTTTCACCATTTACCCACACTTGCTGGCGCTAACAAATAATCTTATGACAGTGCGGTTTCGCAGCTCTCAAAGGTTGAACTGATCATCAACTAGTCATTTAGTCATATTTATATACATATAGATCGATCTACGCCAACAGACTTTGTCTCTATCTTAACTTATTTTCCAACACAAGAGCCATCGTATTTCGGAGTCAGCTAGAGTGGCCCAACACATATTATATATAATCCATATAATATTTGAGTATATAATGATAAATTAGGTTTCATTCGAAATGTTGCGAGAAAACTCTCAAATGACAAGCTTAAATATGCCTTAGACTTAAGCCAAAGGACTTTTGTATTATGTAGCTGCCATGGGTATAATAAGTAGGATCGAAATATATTTCGTAGGGTATTTGGCAGCATCGATGCACAGAAGACTAATTTACTTATTTATTTTTTTAATATTTTTTTCATTATATTTTTGAGTAATGTTAAGAAATGAAATTCAAGGAAATTTTTATGCTGCAAATCGTTAAAATTCAATTACAGCAAATTACAGAAAGCAGTGGCCCAGCAAAAGGAACAGCAGTAGAGCCAGCAGCAGCAGTAGCAGTAGCAGCTGGAGTAGGCTGGTGTAGGAGCCACAATTTAAATTATCGGCAAGGTATGTGCTGGTGCGAGTATCTGTTTAAGTGCTGCGCAGGAAACCATAAAAATTGTTGCTGACAGGAAGCAAAAGCGGCGCCAACTTTTGCACAAGATACGAATACGAGCCAGGCGGTACTTTACAGGTCTCTCCCCCTCTCGCTCTCGTTCTCTCTCTCTCTCAGTCACTCACTGCATCTCTCTCTCTCTCTCTCTTTCGCCAGCTCGCTGCGTGTGCCAAAAAGCGTTTAAAGTCGACGATGTATTAGCATTTCACTTGAGCAAAGTTTATCGAAAGGCAATCATAAGGCAATTTATAAACGGAC